CTGGGTCTTCGTCACCTCTTGGGGCACTAGTCAAGTCTCGCAGCTTCAGTTCTCTGGAGTGGGATGTGGCTCCTTGGGCAGAGCTGCACCTCCTTTTATCAGGGGCTGGGATGGCGTGAGTTCCTTTCCAGCCTTTCTCTTTCATCAGCATGCACACACTTTCCTTGTGGGCCCAGTTTCACAGAGAAGTCTCTGGATTGACAAGGATGTGAGGGGAGGGTTTTCTGGATCAGCAACTGAGGGATTTCTCCAGGGGTCAAGGTAGAGGTGGAGACTGACTGGCCAGCAATGGACCAAGTCCAGCTAGCTGATTGCGTGGGATTGTTTTCCTACTTAGTGTTTTTTAAAAGTGGAATCACCTGACAATTAACATATAATTGAGATTTTCCACACAGAAATCAGGATTTCTAGATTCTTAAGAAAAACAATAAAAAACATAAAACACCTGCCAATCTGGGGCATAGATTCCGTTTTGTCCACAGGTCCCTGAAACTAAACTGTGCCTGCAGAAGGCATGCGTGCACTTCATGACAGCACCTCATTTGTCCTTTTAGGCATCCAAGTTAGAGACGCCTGAGTAGACAAGGAATTGTGCCCTGTCCACTCTGAAGAATGGACTCTGAAGATGTTGTTCAGGTTGCCCTTGAGGACTTAGCTTTGCCTCAGGCTTCCTATGGACCTTCATCAGCCCTGCCCAGGAGACATTCCTGAGGTCTGTCTCTGGAAGCTGAAGAACTGCCAAGGGCAGGCCTTGGAGAGGTGTGAGAACTAACAATCTATCCTTGAGCAGCTGGGATCCACATTTGACCTTCAACCAAAATGGCCTCCAGGGGCCACTTGGATAAGACCTGGAGTCTGGAGCTAGACCAAAGTCCTTATATTCCATTCCCAAGCACACCAGTAGACGTCTCATGGGAGCATGGCACAGGAATGTCTAGCCTGGCAATGGCTGGGCATCTGAAAGATCACCCAAATATCATTTTGCCATTTGGTACCTGGCAGAATAGCCTTGAGTCTAGTGCAGCAGACGCCCGTTGGCTGCTGCTTCTGTCTGGAGCACCTCACCATCTGTCTCCATTCAGAGACAGCCTTGCATCGGGGAGGTGGAGAGGAACACAGACAGGAAATTCTTCTTACTTAACCCTAAAGCCTTTCAGCTGCAGCTGAAGCTCATTTCCTCATTTTGCATGTCATGGAGATGAAAAGGCAGCTTGTCCCAGAGCTGCATGCTCTGTGCAGTCACCCCCAGTAGTCCCTGGGTTAGGCTTTAGGATTCTCATGGTATTTTTTTCCTCGTGTTCAGGCTGGTCCTTTTATTATTATTATTATTATTATTATTATTAGAGACAGAGTTCATGGGATATATGACTTTAATGACTGTCCCCCAGGATCATATCCACTAGACAAACATACTGAAAGCTGTGCTGGCAGGTTCTGAGCCTCAGCTGTCTGGCACTTAGGATAGTCCATGCTGTTTCTAAGAATACTTAAAAGTAAGTCAAAGTCACTGTGTGGCATTTCAACTTTCTATTACCAGGATGCTGATTCCTCACCTGGCCTGTAGACCGTCCTCACCTTTTATTTCTCCTGTAGAGATTACAGCCACTAGACCTTCAAAACAGGGAGTGGGCTCATAATAAACAGTGGTGCTTCCAGCCCAGGCAAGAAGTTTTTTGTCAAGTAACCAAAGTCTCACTGGTTTGTGCCACTGGAAGGACTGGCCTCAGTCCAGGGCTGGTTTGGTGCTGAGGCATCGGCAGGTGAGAGGGAGGGCTGGAATGGCCACGCGATCACTCTTTCAAGCCTTTCTGTGCTGCTTCTCAGTGGGTTCTCTCTGAGTTAACCATGGACAATGCCTATTAGGGACCTCTGAACATAACACTGGTTTTAAATATCAAAACTGATGGGAATCTAGGAACTGTGTGTGGGTTGAGAGGTGGAGTGGGAGAGGGAGGTGGTGTGTTTTCAGAAACTTTAATTCCCGACTGATCTTATCTTCTAAGAAGGTTGGCTGTAAGCTGCCTTTAAGGTACAACTTTAGGATCCCCAAAGGCCTATATGTTCAAAAATGACTTCCATCAGGTGACTTCCTAAGGCCCAGGAAGTTATTCCTAGATAGTTCGTCTTCTGATTAAGCTTCGGTCCCAAGAATGCTAATGTCCTTGAGAAAGTGCATCCATTGCTCACTGAATCCCTTCCAGAGAGGAGAGGATGAGGGCACCCAGCACTGGGTGAAGGGACTGTCTATGGGGGCAAGGTGGGGAAAGGGGATCGAAGTGGTAAAAACAACCATGACGGCCTCACAATTTGTTTCAGGATGGGTAACGACTTCTTATATTAGTTAAGTTGCAGTAGGGGTGGTCATTTATGATTGGGGACAGATTCCCAGGGCTCATGGGCTGGGCTTTGGAGTCAGGCAAAGTTATGTTGCTTTTGGCTCCATTGCTGGAGCTGCATGTCTCTGGGCTGTTCCCTTAACCTGTCTGTGTCAGGCCTTGTTTTTCTGAAGGGAGGAAACAATGCTTCCTCGGGTGTGTTATGAGCACATCATACAATGTAGGTTTAAGGGTTTCAACTGGGAGTGGCACATGTAGCCATGCCACACGACCCTTTCCCATGCGTTGCACTCCCCCATTGTGTATGTTTTGGAGCAGGTAGGTATATGCTGCATGCTGGATGTGTGTGTGATGCGGGTGCAGGCAGTTACTGAGTTGAGGCACAGGTGGATGGTACTTGTTTGTTGGCTTGATTAATGTGTAGACATACTTGGAAGTTCTGATTGCTTCAGCAAATGAAGCAATATTCATTGGATTTTTGCATCCAGAAGTATTTCCGTTCTTTACTTTGTCCATCTTATCAGAGCTCTTTGATGGGTTTGAATGGCTGTCTTTATGCTGGACTAATGTACACTTCAGTGTAGCAAATTATTCTATGCAGTATCCAAGAATAAATGCATTGTTTCTATGGTTTGTATAAAAGCCCCAAAGCCCAGGTGTTACAAGGCTTGTTCCCTAGCCTATGGAGCTATTGGGTGGTAGAAGAACCTTTAAGAGGTGGGGCCTAATTGGAAGGTCTTGGCTCATTGGAGGTGTGTCCATGGAGGGGATAGTGGGACCCCAATGTCTCCTTCCTCTCTTCCTGGCTATATGAAATGAGCAGCTTTGCTCTAGCATACACTTTCCCCACGATAAGCTGCCTCACAACAGATTCAAGTGCAAGAGGGGCAATCGATCACAGCTGACACCTCAAAAGCTCTGAGCCCAAAATAAACATGTCCTTTTTATAAGTTGATTATCTCAGGAATATTGCTATAGTGACAGGAAGTTAACACAAAGGCATAGCAGGGAAGAAAAATGATTATAGTTTTAGATTGTTCTTGTTTTCAAATATTGATAATAGAAGTAAATTATTTTGTGACCTGAGATAGCACAGTGATTGAATAACTACTGCCTGACATAGTTTGGGTTTTGTAAATGTCGCATTTCACATGTGTTCAAGAATGGACTTCTCTTAAGGGAGCTTTGCAATTAACCTGTAAAGTACAGGACTATTTACATATTCACTCAGTGAGCTTCCCTCTGCAGTTTTTGAGTATCTTGCTTTGCTTCTGCACACCTTTGGGCATTGTGAGATACTGGATTTCTGGGAATGATTCCTGTTGAAGTTTCTTATAGGCAAGGAAGGGTGGAAGAAAACTATAGACAAGTAGGCATGACTGCTCACCTTAAATGCCCAGAAAGTGATTGGCGTCTGTCTCTGTTGTCTACAGCATGAGACGCGTACCTGTGCTGTCTCTACCACAGGGTTGCACATCTGGAGTCGAGAGGGAATGTTTTGTGGATTTTGGTTTGTGCACATAAAGTCTAATGCTGTGGTTTTGTCTCCAAAATGGACATCCCTTTTCTCATGCTTTGAAAACCATCAAATTCTTTCTCTTTATTTATGTCACAAATTCCCTCAGAGAGTCTGAGAGTTCCCTCAGAACTTCCTCCACTGTCACTTGATTTGCTCTAGAGGTAGTGGGACAATGTTGGAGGACTGAGTGACATATGTTAGACTCATCTGTGTTGAGTCTGTTCAGAATTTTCACTCAGTATTAAAGTCACATGCTAGCCAGCATATGTGTCATCACAACCTCCTTCTCTTTCTTCTATGACATTCCAAATGCATTTTCCTTAATGTTACTAAGTTCAAGGGTTTTCTTTCTTTCTTTTTTTTTAGGTTACTTTTTTCTTTTCTGAAAGTGCCTTGCATCATTGAATAGTCATTTTCAAATCCAAGTTTGCTTAAAATTTGTTTGACTGTTGCATGATAGTTAGCATATATCTACATGAGAGATTTTGTTTGAGAAAATGCTACTTATTATTTTGAAAGTTTTGAAAATCAAGAATTTTTTAGATGTAATAATTCTTCCTAATGACTTATTTTTTCTTCTGGGACAAAACTTGGAAGCATTTCAATTAGGTCTTTGCAGATAAAACCAGCTTTTTACTTCTCTTTTAATGACCTTGGTTTGTTTTCTTTGTAGAAATGAACACTTCTGTTACCTCACTTTGATCACCACGGGTGTCCTTCCTAATTCTGACATTTATGTTATTCTCAGGGTATTGTAAAGATCGTCCAACTTGTCATATGAAACGCTTAGGACTTATTTAATTTACAAATGCCTCTGGAGAATATGGGAGCTCACTAATTAGTTGTTTTTGCTCTGGCAAGTTAGCGTAATCAAGGCAGAATGCAGAGAGTTGATTTTGATTTGTTTCCTGTTTGGTTTAAATTTACCACCCACAGTTATCCAAAATACATCAAAGCATGTGGACTTGGTGTGTTTGTCATGCTGTAACAATGCGCAAACAAGACAGCACTTAAAGTCTCTCAGCTCAGACAGATTCAATGTCATTTACTTTTTTGCTAACAATATCAGAGAACATTCAAAAACTTCTTTTCCCAACCTGTCATTACCGTAAGTTGATGGTTGCGCTGTTTGCATAGTTGACCACCCACTGAAGCCAAGGCACGTGAAACTGCTGTCCACTAAAATGGGCCTGAAAGTCACGTGGGAACCACCCAAAGACGCTACCAGTAGACCCGTGGAGCATTACAACATTGCCTATGGGAAGTCACTGAAAAGTCTTAAGTACATCAAGGTGACTGCGGAGACACACTCCTTCCTTATTGAGGATGTGGGTAAGTGATGCTGTGCTCTCCTTCCGAGTCAGTTAACTGTGTGCTGACCTCTCAGCTGTGTTCTTAGGATAATATTTGTGAGACAGAGTTCAGCCGGCTCAGGCTACCTGGGGTTCTTTGGCAATGGAAAGCCAAGTTCTGAGGCTGTCATCATGAGGCTGTCACTTAATAGACTTCATCTTGCCTGGGCTTCCTGTCCATGTATTTGAACTCCAGTAGTCCTCTTTCCAAATTGAAATATCAAACTATTTTTATCTTCTCAATGTACTTTTAGAAAATATGTTGATCCTTTTTTTTTGTCTGATAGAAACTTGACTGCTAAACAATTCAGTAGATGAATCTGGAGATTTCTAACTTACAAAACAACTTATAATTAGTGATTACTCAAGTACAGTTGACCCTAGAATGACATAGGCTTGAACTGAAATATACACGGATATAGTTTTTGGAGATTTGCAGCAATTTGAAAAAGCTGGCAGAACTGCAGAACCTAGAGACTTCAAAAAAAATTAAGAAAAAGTTGTACATATCATGAATGCATAAAGTATGTGTAGATAATATCTACATTATTTCTTATTCCCATAAGGTATATACAAATCTATCATAAAAAGTTAAAATTTATCAAAACTTAGGCATTCAATTATAAACTGTCCATGGCATCCTTTGCAGGGGAGAGAAATATAAACAAAAGTAAAGGTGCGGTGGTCAATCTTAACTGTAGAAAGCTAACGCAGTAACACTGCACAACTGAGGTCATTTTGTAGCCACCCGTTGCTACTGCAGAGAGACAAGTGTTGTGAGACTCCACGTAAAATGTCACTGTGTGACACTTGTCATTTCTACACATAATCTGTATAGAAAAATAATCTGTAGTGGTTCTCACTTTTTTCTCACCATGCATAATATGTATAAAACATGAATATGTGTTACTTGTCAGCTTGTGTCATCTGTAAGGCTTCCAGCCAGCAACAGACTCTTAATAGTTAAATTTTTGGAGAGGCAGAAATTATATGCACATTTTTGATTGCACAAAGGGTTGGTAATCTAACTCCTGAGTTGCTCAAGGGTCAGTTGTAATATGCCCCTGAAAAGGTGTGTGTAGAAGGCAGTCAGTCATGCTTACCCACATCTGGTTGAACTCTTTTTGCCCACTTAAATTTTATTTTAATTTGATTCTAGAAGTTGGGAACATTTGAGATCGTGCCTTAGTGCATATTGTTGTATAAGGGCAAATGTAGGTGGTTTTGCACTTTGGCTTTGTGCTACCTCTCTGTACCCTTTCTGCAACTTTTGATTGCAGTAGACTGACACCCCATTGGTTTTACCATCAAGGTTCAACCTTGACATGGATCAGGGAGTCAGAATAGAGAAAATCAGGTGTCCCTCATGCCATATTAACGTCCTGGTCCTGGAGTGAATGATAATGAGCTCATGGTTCCGCAGCACTGATCCCCTGACCTCAGCCTCCCAGGCTAGCTCCTGCATTGTAATATGATGCTTTCTGAGTAACAGAGCAGAAAGTGGATAAAGGAGACCAGATTCCCTTCCTCCTGGCTTCAGCTAAACATGCATTTCCTGGAATCTCTTCTGTATCACTGTGGCCCCCCAGAGCCCAGCTGTGAAGTTAAATGGAGATTCTATCAGACCAGGGGCATGAGATGGTCATATTTCCTCACACTTGGGTTGTTATCATTGCTGCAGAGAAGAAAAACACGTGAACAAGAGTCACAGCACTCACTAAAAACCCTAGTATCTCTCAAGCAGCTTTTCTGATAGTTAACTGACAGCAAAGAAAGTGCCTGATGGAGCACAATTTTGCATTCTGGCTGAACCTGGAGCATTTCCCGCTCCAGGGTAGGTGGTACCAAATCCCAAATGTCACCAGGCCCTGCCATATTGAGACAGGAGTCACACCAGTCTTTAGCACAGTAGCTCTCCCAGGTAGTGGCAGCCCAGTCACTGGTCTTGAGCTTCTGGCTTGAGAACTGAATGAGTTTCTCCACTGAAACTCATTCAAATGAGTTTGTCATTATCTCTAGTTGCTTTGACAGAACAAGCTCTCTCCTCTTCAAACTTGGTCCCTGAGAATGCCACAGACTTTCATGTTTTTAAGTAACTGGTACCTTCACTTACCTGTCACAAGATAATAACTCATCTTGAGGAAAAGCAGTGCTATTAGAATTTTGCTTTTAAAAGCTGCAAGTTCGGGGTGCATTCTCTTAGGAACACACCTCTTGGTTTCCTTCACATCCCAACAACTTCAGGAGCTCAACCAGAGACCTCTGCTGTTTGACCTTGACCCTGGGACAAAAGTCAAAAAGCAAAGCCTAATTATTTCAAGATTAGCATTTTCCAAGATTCTAGGAAACATTTTTATAGCTTTTTTTTGTTGAAACAGTCAAAAACAACACACAAATATAGCCTGTGAAAAGGAGAATTTCAGGAAGCTTTATGCAGTGCAACAAAGATTTCCTGTTGGCTATTTTGTGAGTTACATTGGTGTTTCTTTTTTTCTTAGAGATTTCCGTTTGGAGCTTCCATGTGGGAGTATTTGTAGTTTCTGACAGTATATGTTCAAATACCAATTAGCAGACTGGTATTTCCTATTTCTTACATTGATTTTATATTAAAACTTTAAGAAGTCTTTGGTACTGACTGCTTGTGAGTCCAGATTTTTTCACATGTTTTAGTGGCATGAAAAGAACGTTAGTGATTTTTAGTAAACCCTGAAAAGAAAGCCATTAGAATTCTCATGTAATTGAGATTTTTACAATTGGCTATAAGTGGTTTAAGGAAGATGGTTGGTTAGTGTATCATTCTGGAGATTTGAAACGGTGGCTTGATGTGAACCGTGTGTTTCAGAGCCGGGGGTAGTGCACTTTGTGCTGGTTACGGCAGAAAACCACAGTGGAGTGAGCCGTCCGGTTTACAGAGCTGAAAGCCCACCTGGTAAGTCTGACTTAGAACTGCAGACTGTCATTTTGTTACTTAGACCGGGACCTCCCTTCTTGCTTCTGTCAATTATAAATTTAGAATTAGTAGAGGATTCCTGGACAACAACTTTTTAGACCTGTATGGCAAATCAAAACATGCAAAACTCAGAGAGACTTACCCTTTTCTAAAAAGTAGTAGCTATAACGTAGATTATTAGCATTTTTGTCTGAGTTTTCTTTCAACACACACTAGAGAACAAATCATGTGCGGAAGACTCAAAATGTGTATTATCCCTAAAGCTTAGGTGTGGAGTCACTCCGATGATCTGAGTGGATCCTTTGAAAGACTCTTAAAAAGATCACTTAACTATTCATTAAGGATGTACTGAAATATGGAGAATACAGTGGACCTTGTTCTAACTATCCAGTTGCATTTCCCTAATTTAGGAGGTGAATGGATCAAGATTGATGGTTTTCCCATTAAGGGTCCAGGACCATTTAATGAGACCGGCACAGGTACTACTTGCTCATTGGTTCGTGTCTTCACTGAAGCAACATCTCACAAGAGCGTTGTGCTTCCGTCACACACATGTGCTCACAACCCTTCACCTCGTTCCCATTGCTAAACTAACACACATGCCGCCTGGTCTCAGTCAATCTGCTCCTGGACTGCAGCCAGTGTTGCTCGTTGTTTGTCATTCCTTCATGTACTCATGTGGGACAGCGTCTGCGTGTATATTGGGGAGACTGTCACCCTGTTAAAGGGCAAATATGGTGGTTGAGATGGTAGTACTGGCCTGATTAGGATTTGTACAGTGTACAGTCTTTTACCTGTAAATGGCAGAGATGTATGGAACTCACAAAACAGTGCTTTTTATTGGCTACTATGTTGCATCAAGTCTTTTCTGACCACCTTGGAATATTTTGTGATACATTGGATGACCTGCCTTCCATCTCAGCTCCATATTTGTCCATGTATGTTCTAATGTGTGAAGTGTCTGATCATGTTTTACTTATTGAGAGAAGTCTTGCTATTTCTTGTGTGTTGTTTCTTGAGTATGTTTAACTGATGCTGAAAAAGATTACTCAATGGATGCAGTTATTTTGGAATGTGTTTGAGCAATATCCCAAAGGTAATATGGCGGGGAGCTGTGTCTTATTTTAATGTACCTGTGGCTAAAGCCATCAATATGGCATTACTGTTGAGGGGAAGGTGAGTATGTTGACACTGACGACCATAATATGGTTCTCAAATCGGTTTTGCTGGGTGTAGACAGCTTTCAATCCTTTTTACATGAAAAAAAAAGGGAGGAAGAATGAAGCAATCAGTAAAGGAAACTGGCTGTGAGGGGAGGAGATATGTTTTTCCTCAGATGTGTCAGACTTGAGGTAGCTATGGGGTGTTGTGATGGAAATGTCTTGAATGCGATTGGCCATGAGGGAATGGAAGTTGGAAGAGGGAAGAAAGACCTGGACATGGATTTAGGAGTCATGCTATAGACTGAGGGTTAAAGCAGAGAGAATGCACCAGTAGGAAAGGACAGGAGAAGGAAGAGCAGGAGGCCAAAGATTAAACTTGGAAAACATTGACGGTGCAGTAATGCTCCTTTATCAACAGGGCATGTGTGCTCCAAGACCCCTAGTGGAAACCTGAAACCACAAATAGTACCAAACTCTCTATATATACTAGGCTTTTTCCCATGTGTACACGTGATCATTTTTAATTTAGGAATTAGGCACAATAAGAGATTAACAATAGTAACTAATAAAATAGATACAATAATATGTTATAATAAAAGCTACATTAATTTGACCCCTCTCTGTTCTGCCCTCTTTCAAAATAGCTTACTGTACTATAGTCACACTTCTTGTTCTTTTTTTCCCTTTCTTTCTTTCTTTTTTGTGGTACTGAGGTTTGAACTCAGGGCCTCATGCTTGCTAAGCAGGTGCTCTACCATTTGAGCCACTCCACCAGCCCCCTTCTTGTTCTTGTGATGCTGTAAGGTGATGTAATGCCCATGTGATTAGAGGAAGTAAGGTGGATGATGTGTGTTATGATTTAGCAGTAGGCTACTATGAACAAAAGCATTGTAGTACTGAGATGGTGGATCTGATGACGCAGAAGTCTACTAAGTGACTAACAAGAGGGTAGTGCATACATTATGGATATGCTGAACAAGGCATGATTCACATCCTGGGCAGGATGGATGGGACAACAGTGTGAGATTTCATCACATTGTATGGAATAGTGTACAAATTAAAACTTATGAGATGTTTATTTCTGGAAATTTCCACTTAATATTTTTGGACCACAGTTGACTACAGATAGCTTAGACTGGGGAGGTGAAGCTTTGGACAAGGGGAGGCTACTGCACATCTGGGATGTATGTCAAGTATGGAAGAATGTTTCAAAGGTCTTTACTCTTGAAGACACACACATAATCAGACAGATGTAAACATTTTACTGATAGACATACATGCCTTGTATTTGAATCTTATGCTTTGTATTTTAAGTGAACATTTTATTTTTATAATCTTCCTGGTCAGGTTTTCTAAATTGCTTTTAGAACTAGTAATTTTCTTGCTTTTTTGTAGGTAATTAATTTCTTATGTTTTCTTTAGTAAAAACTCATAAGTACGCACGTGTGTGCATTTGTGTGTACCTTTTTGAGTAAGCAAATGTTACAGAAATTCTGGGGGTCAGGGATCAGAGATAGTCATGTTCCAACTCACCGCTGGTTTAGTATTAAGAGATTATTTAACCTCTTTCTGCAGGCATGAGGTTGCTGAAGTGCTGTCTGAACATGTTGCTTGGCTGGGAGTGGTGGTACATATCTGTAATTCCAGCTGTTTGGGAGGTAGAGATAAGAGGATTGCAGTTTGAGGCCAGCCCTGGCAAAGTTAGTGAAAAACCATATCTGAAACACAAATAAAAGGCAAAGAAGTGGGAGTGATAGAGCACTTGCCTAGCAAGTGTGAAGACCTGAGCTCAATCCCCAGTACTGGGAAACAAAAACAAACAACAGCAAAAACCTCCCCAAAATATGATGTTGCATTTGTTATAGGTTATGATAAAACAAAGTACTAGAGGAAATTGCTAGCTGAAACCGTTTGCAACATAGGATAAAAGGCAGGATTTACAATACAAAACAGAACAACCTGGGAATATCCAGAATGCTTAGACTTGGTTAAAGTGCTCTAGGAAAAAAGATCACATTTCATTGTTAAAATAAGATCTTATAAGAAACTATCAATAAACAATCTACATAAATCCATACCTTTTTGTCTTTTTTTGATACTTGGAAAATATGCCATTCTCTCATTCTTAGAAACGGTTAAATACATTGCAATTTTGTTAAAACAAAAGAAATATTCAGAATTCCAGGTCTTTATTCAAAGGAAGAGATTTGTCCTAAAACAAGGTGGGACCAGCATGAGCAGCTGGTCTAAAGCCTGAGGATTCCTTTGTTAGTACTTTGCTTAGTATGATGGCATCTCCTATTCTTCTGGGCTTTATTTGAAACCAGGGAGGAATCCATTCTTTTATTCTGCTGGAAATGGTGGTTTCCATTCGAATTCCAAAAGACCTCCTTTTGTTGGCTCTCCTGACCAAGTCTTCTTTACCTAAAAACAGGACCTCAGTTATTTAATTAATTCCTTCAGTGCCTGTGGTTTTTCAGGCACAGGTCTCAGTGCTAGAAATACCTGGAGAACAAGATAGGCTCACTGGAATGAAACTCACATTCTAATGGGAAAGAAAACCAGCAAACAATGAAGCAAAAATTAATGCATATAACCTACACGCTTGCTAAGGGCTGCTGTAACAAAATACCACGGACAACAGACATTTGTTTCCAATGGTTCTGGAGTCTACCAGTCCAAGACGAATTGTCAGCAGGTTTGGATTCTCCCATGGTCCCTGTCCTTGGCTTGCTGTGCCCTCATATGGCCTTTCCTATGTGGCATGCCTCTCACACAGGAAAGAGCACGGTGTCTTTGTGTCTATATCTCATTTTATAAGGGCTCCAGCTGGATTGAATTAAGGCCCACCCTAATCATTTAAACTTAATTACCTCTTTAAAGACACTATCTCCAAACATAGTACCATTCTGAAACACTTCTATATAGGAATTTGGCAGGGAATGGGGGTGGAACAATTAAATCTACAATATAATCACAAATTATTTGGAAAAAAAAAACTGCACTGTGATATAGAATAAGATGATGGGGTCCTTGGGGGACGGTTGGGAGCCTGGAGATGAGATGATGGACCTTAATGGTCCTCCACATGAGGAGGAGGAAGAACATTCCAGAGAGTCCTGGTGGTTGGGCAGGACTAAAGTAACTCTCAGACTGGTCACTCATCCAAGTATGAAAATTCTGGACTCAGATATGGTAGACTAAGCAAAAATGTAACTCCAGGGCAGAAGTCTTGGCTTCCTCTTGTGTAGCTCAACTCCTATCTCGTGGTCAGAATGTTTTCTTTGTATTTAATGTGGAATCCCTCTTGCTGGGATGTAAACCCAGGTCTTTCAGTTCTGTCCCCAGGGAAGAGATGTCACAAGTCCACCATCCATTTATTGGAATACTATCATGTAACATTTCTGCAGACTTCTTTTATGCTAGTTACTTTAGCTTTTTTTGTGGCTGGAACTGGGGTAACTGGGTCATGCAGAGCCAGGCCTCAGGGCTCAAGACAGACACATGTCCCAATTCTGCTACTGACTAGCCCACAGATTTGGCTGGGCCAGTTATTCTAAGTTTGCCAAATTTCATCTTGGAAACCATGTTGGATTCTGTTTAGTTTTACCTCTGAATATGCTTAAATTTATTTTTAATAATTTCTCTGACTTTCTAAAAGTCTATTCCTCTGTGCTTTTCTCAAGCTGTGGAGCTAAACTAGATCTAGTACTGAAACAAAAGTCTGATTTTTGCTTCTTACTTTCTTTACAGTATATTTTAGTTCATGAAGGCTGGGACTTTTTTGATAGTTAAACAGTAGCTGGGGCTCAAATTCAGTATAGAGTTCACAATGAACTACCATGCTGCTCACCTGTGGTCCAGCCATTCCCTTCCTAATTGTGGCCACCCACTGGACTCCAGGCTGCTCCCACAATCAGGAGCATGTCAACACTTGACTAGTAATGGTCTCTACACACCAGACATCCTAGACCATGTCAGTCTTCATGATGGTCCATTTTATATTATTGCCACCTCCTCTCATAGAGCTAGAGTTGGGGATAGGATTGCTCCCTCACAATCTAGAATTCTGAATTCCCTTGTCTGATGGCAGGCATCTCACTGCTCCCCTCCCTCACAGCATGAACTTGCTTTCAGATCTTGTCCGGCCCTGACTCTGAAGGCCCTTCCTCTTTGTTAGAACTTGGGAGAGAAATAAAGAGCTAAGAAAATGTAGAAAGATTTTAGGCTAAAACAACCCCAGAGAAAACCAAACCAAACCTTTGATCTGAGACATAATTTTCCTCAGCATAGTTAGCACTTTGTCCTTAGCTGAC